CTGGCAGCTGACAGACACCAAACAGCTGGTGCACAGCTTCGCTGAGGGCCGCGACCAGGGCAGTGCTTATGCCAATCGTACCACCCTCTTCCCGGACCTGCTGGCCCAGGGCAACGCGTCCCTGAGGCTGCAGCGCGTGCGCGTGGCAGATGAGGGCAGCTTCACCTGTTTTGTGAGCATCCGGGACTTTGGCAGTGCTGCAGTCAGCCTGCAGGTGGCAGGTGAGTGCAAGGTAGGGAATGGTGAGAAGGAACACCCACGGCACCCTGCACCCCTCAGATATCCTACATTCACAGCTCACCCACCACTGAGCCCCCTAGATCAAACCCCAGTGCTGATACCCTGCACACACAGACCCCTCTTCTTTTACCTCCCTTCCCTTGCCCCTTGTCCAACCCTGACTCGTGCCCTCTGCCCTCCTGCAGCCCCCTACTCGAAGCCCAGTATGACTCTGGAGCCCAACAAGGACCTGCGACCTGGAGACACGGTGACCATCACGTGCTCCAGCTACCGGGGCTACCCCGAGGCCGAGGTGTTCTGGCAGGATGCTCAGGGCGTGCCCTTGACGAGCAATGTGACGACGTCGCAGATGGCCAACGACCAGGGTCTGTTCGACGTGCGCAGCGTGCTGAGGGTGGTGCTGAGCGCCAATGGCACCTACAGCTGCCTGGTGCGCAACCGCGTGCTTCAGCAGGACGCCCATGGCTCCGTCACCATCACAGGTGAGGCCACTGACCGAGAGCCAGGAAGGATACATTTTCCCAAATCAGACCTTGAGCTGGAATTTAGACACCAAAACAACAACAGACCCTCACAACTATCGAGGTGCTTCCAACTCAGTGGCCCTTCATTGAGCTTCCAAGATTCCATCTATCTTTCTGGGAGGACACTGCCCATCTTTCTGCCACAGAGCAGCTAGTGGATTGGAACTGCTGACCTGTTGGTTAGCAGGCAACAAGTAACTTGCATTATGCCAGCAGAGCACCTTAGCTACACTGATCAAAAGACTATTTGAAAATCCCTTTCACACTTTTCAGATATTTCAAATTGTCCCCAACAAGAAATCCTTCAGGGACTTTTACCAGCTGATAAGAATAATTTGTAATATTTTCTTTCCTGAGAGCGCCTTAGGTGGTACTTGTGCTTCTTCAATAGAAGACAAAGTGCACGCCTGGAATGTGGAGAGGAGGGCGGAGCAAGGGGGCAGCCTCAAGGCAGCCTGGGGCTATGGTGGTGGAGTGATTGCCAAGTGGAATCTCTCCTGAGGATGGGAAGGTATTACTACCTCCACAGGCGCTACTTGACTCTGAAAGCCTCAGAGACAGCAGCGCTTCTCCAGGCAGTCACACCCCACTCATCTGGGCCACTGTCTGCTCTGCAACTCTCCTTCCTTCCAGCAGAGGTGAGCGCCTTGAAATAACTGGGACTGGCTCTGCTGCCCCCCTGTGGCCAAATGCTAGATGGAGGTCACCTACTTGCCTAGTCCCGCAACCTCTGGTTTCTTTTATCCTAACCAGAGCATCCTCCCTGAGCGCGTGCTCAGGCCCAGCCCGTCAGTGTTTGAACCTAGTCCTTGTGCAGCCTTGTTTGCTCAGGTGGACTCCTCAGTCTCTCCCCCTAGGCCAGCTGGGCTCTCCCAGGCACCACCTTGTGCACTCCAGGGCTCGGACAGTTGGTTCTTTCTGTCTGGTTCTTTTCTCTTCTACCTGTGCACTCATGCCATCACACCTAATCATCTATCCCCTAGTTTCTGCACAATCTCAGGACTTACTGACTTGTTGCTGCTTTGCAACAACAAAGTTGTTGAGTGGAGCCTCACCCGGCCCTTATAAGCCCAGAGCATATGCTTCAAGCACTCAGCTTCTAGGGGTTCAAGGCTCAGTTCTCTTATTCTGGACGTTTCTTTTTGAACTAACCGTGTTCCTTTGCTTACCCCTGCCCTAAAACTGACCCCATCCTCTTCCTGAAGACCCCCTGGGCCCTGGCTTGCTGGATGGGAGTCACTCCCCTGGGCCCCCTGATGCTCTGAGAGGTTGACTTGACCTTTTGGAGAGGCAGCACATGGCCTGCTGGTGGAATGGAAACACTGTTCACAGGAAATAACAGAGAAACTCAGGGTAGAGAGACAAGGACTGGAGTGCACTTAGGGAAGGAGAGAGTGCCAGGAAGTGGTCAGGGAAAAACCTCTTGGGGGAGGTTTGAGTTGAGGAGCCCTGAAGGATGATATCACTTGCACCCTGGACTGAACTGGAGACTTGCTGGACTGAGGTGGCTGAGCGTGGACATCAGCATGGTTGTGGGGAGAGTATTGGCTCTGCCTAAAAGAATAAGCTGTTTTAAATTGTTTATGTAGCTAACCTTTTCATGTTTTTGTTGTTCACCATCAAGTTGGAACCAGCTCATAATTGACTCTCCAGCGGGTTTTCAGAGATAGTAAATTGCATGGCAGAAAATGCCAATCCTCCTCATGGTGTATTCAAACCATGTCCCTTTGGGATTCAACACCACTTCTTATCTCTAGGCCACCAGAGCTCCTTAAACTACTGATCACAAACAATAGCCACCCTTTACACATGTGTGACATTATGAATTCTAGGAAGTGCTTTTGTTTAGATCGTTGTTCAAAGCCCATTTCACAGATGCAACTGAGGTCTTGAGAGAAGTTATTTTCCTCAGGCCACGGAATAGCTTGGCATCTTCGGGAGAGTCTTTGAAAATCAGAGAAATGATTAAGGACCTTCTTCCCAGACACATGTTATTCCATATCCAGACTTTGAGGGTTCCTGCCACCACCCCCTAAACACATCCATGGGGTTCTGTGGACCCCAGTTCCAGTGCCCTGCAGTGAGTGGACCAGAATCCAACTTTGGCCTGTCGGCCTAATTTCATTCTCCCCGCCACCGGCCTCCTGTTTCTGTGAGACCACGTCTGGCCTACTTTGGAGCCCTTGGCCTGTATTTTGCGTCAGGGAGCTTTGTGCCTTGTCTGAACATTCTGGGATTCAGACTTTGAGGCAACCGGCCCGGCCTCTTCCACGGCTGCGGGAGGTTAGTGAAGCTGGCTGCCCTCATAGCCGCATAGGTGTGACTCAGACAGAGTGTTTGTCTGGGGGGCGGGGGTGGGGTGGCTTATGGAGCAAGTCCTGGCTTGGAGCCTGACGACCTACGTCCGAGCCCAGCTCCGACCTCTGCTGGTTGAGTGGGGTCAAGTCTGACCTGTGTTCCAGGCACTGACACCAGCCTGAAGGTGAACACCGATAAGCCCCTCAAAGTATTTTTGCGACTCTATTCTCTTTTCCACCTTAGGGACCCCCCATCCTGGGATCTCAGGGGTCTTTACGTGTAGTCTTGGTCACCCAGGTCAACCGCTGTCCTTCTCTCCAGCTCATACTCCAGAGTTAGTGGAGAGCTATAAAAGGTTCTTGAGCGTCACTTTTCAACTTTCAGGTTTGGGTCACCATGGCAATATGGATGGATGGGAAAGGGGTGCTGGGAATGTAAGTGAGCTCTGTTCATAGTGCGAGCGTGCGGCATACATGAGGGCCAGATCCCCAGCCCTGCTCACACCACGTGTCACCCTCAGGCAACAGTCTCTCCTCATTCTTCCCCCCACATCCCTCCCCAGGACAGCCCATGACATTTCCCCCTGAGGCCCTGTGGGTGACCGTGGGGCTCTCCATCTGTCTCGTTGCACTGCTGGTGGCCCTGGCCTTTGTGTGCTGGAGGAAGATCAAACAAAGCTGTGAGGAGGAGAATGCAGGTGAGTGAGAATGTGTGTGTGTGTGTGTGTGTGCGCGCGCACGTGTTCAGGCTCGGGCATGCTGGCTTGCCTGTGACCTCCCTAGAAGTGTGTATGAAATGACAGTATGGGTGTTTGTGCACACTGGACTGGAGTGAGAGGGTGTGTGTGCAAGTGTGGGCCTGTCTGTCATTGTGCACATACAGCAGGATATGTGTGTCTGTGAGCGTTGACTGGCAGTGAGTGGGTGGATGTGCAAGGCTAAAGTGTGACGAGGGAGAAGTGTGGTCTGCAGATGAGAAGAAGTGTGAGCGTAAGTCCAGGAACGTGGTGAGTTTGTGTGTGAAGAGAGGGAGAGTTTAGAACATGGCAGCGGAGCAGCACAACTGTCGGCGCCTCGGTGGCTTTGTGACCCTGTGCATTTGGGAGCAGATAACCTTCACCAGGCTGAAGATCAGTGTGAGTTCACTTTGCCAATTGGTAGATGGCAACTTGACCTTAGTGGATGTGTACACTGACCGAGGTTAGTGATAGCTGAGTTAGCTCTGGTGATTGGTGGACGGATGGGTGGACATTGGTGGGTGGAAAGTTGGCTCCACTGGAGTGTAGATGGGTGAACATGGCATGAGAGCAGATGAGTAATCAGAAACTGAAGAGGACCAGATGTCAAGAAGGAAAGTGATGGGTCAGCTGACAGAAGGACGAGGAACTGTGTACCAACAGCTGAGTGAGCTAGGAGAGGGATGAGTAGATGGATGGATGGACATACGTGTTGGAGGTGATGGTTGACTGGGTTGTTGGGTTGGTGGAGGGGTTAGTAAAGGGTCCTTTGCTAGTTGAATGGTGGGCACCAGGTGGGAGCTAGGGCACTGCTCTGCTCTGTTCTGCTCTGTGCTGGTCTTAAGCTCTGACCTTTGGCCCAGCATTTGGATCACAGTCAAGCCTGCCCAGGTCCCAATGACCTGCACTCTCAGGTTGGAAGTAACAGTGATGAAAAGGAGACGGAAAAGGTTTTTGGTTCACTGTCTTCCAGGAGCTGAGGACCAGGATGGGGATGGAGAAGGATCCAAGACAGGTGAGTCTGAGCTTGGAGCTGACCTTCTGGGCTGGGGAGAGTCCACAAGGAACAGAGAGGATACCACAGTCTCAAGAAGATAGATTTGCTTTAAGATTCAAATGAAATATGTAGCCTGGCCTGAGGCTTCTCAAGCCACAGAGAATCCTGTTTACTCACAGTTAGATCTAGAGGTCCAGCTCCCATGATTCCTTGTCCAGTGGTCCTTTGCTCCATTTTCTGTCTACTTTTACCCACCCACTAGGGCCAGTTCTACCTCTAGTGACCCTGAATTACAGAATCTGGTGGCTTCCTAGAGGTGGACTCAGAAGCCAGGGCAGTCCTGGCCATTGACTTTGGAGTCAGACAGCTTGAGTTCAAGTTCCACTTCCTATAAGCTGTGGAGCCTCAGGCAAATCACTTCACCTTTCTATTCCTGTTTTTTCATCTGTGAAATGAGCACAGTAACAGGGTCTATCTTTATAGGTCATATGAGTTATATTAAAAACAATGTTGTTGTGTGCCATCGAGTCACCTGCAACTCATAGTACCTTATGTACAATAGTTCTGAAGCCTGCCCTGTCCTGAGCAAGTCTTACTGCCTCTGGTACACCTAATCCCATTGCCCCAGTTACTATGTCAATCCATCTCATCCGAGGTCTTCCTCTCCAGCACTGTCCCTCTACCCTGCAAAGCTTGGTGTCCTTCTCCAAGAACTGGTCCAATAACCAAAGTAAATGAGACAGAGCTTTAAAATCCTTGCTTCCTAGGAACAACTTGGTTTCACCCTCCCTAAGACAGACCTATTTGTTCTCCTAGCAGTCCATGGTATATTAAGTACTCTTTTCCAGCACCACAGCTCAAAGGTATCAGTTTTTCTTCTGTCATCCTTAGTCACTGTCCAGCTCTCTGATGCAATGCATAGCAAGTAATTGCAAAGGCTATGACCTGGATCAGGCACACCTTAGTCTCTAAACTGACATCATTGCTCATTAATTACAGTAATACATGTAAATTATTAAATGTGATAATGCATGTAAAGTACCTATACCTGTCACTGAGTGACAGCTCAGTACTTTGGAGCCTTGTTTTCAGGCAAATGGTTAAAGATAGAATCACTCTAGTTAGAGGGCAGATAGCTTTGGGCAGAAATGTGCTTTGTTATTTTGGGCTTCAGCTTTACCATCTGTGAAAAGGTCAGTCTGACCCCTATCCTGATGGTGGGACTGGTTTCATGCTCTATTTAGGATAGGAAAGTGGTTTGCAAAGACTAACCTAATGCTATGAGGAGACAAAGCAGGAGCCCAGCTTCTGGTGGGGCCTGATTATTTTGTGGTGGCGCCCTGTAGGCCACCACTTCCCTTTCCAGGACCTTCAGGGCTGGGAGAGGTAGGGCCCCACCGAGCTATTGGGGTCGTTCCCTCCCTACCTCCATAGAAAGGATGGCAGAAAACTGACACCTGGGAATGCTGTAAATCATGCTAATTAATTCTGGTGCCCAGATGTGGCATTGTGGAGACAGCCTTGGGATCAGGCCTCATTTTTCATGCTCAGAGGCAGAAGTGTTGTCGGAAAGGAATGAGTGAGGAGAAGAGAGCTGTTTAGAGATTTGCTCAGATTTGGTTCCGCAGCGGTCCAGCCTTACCCATGATGCCTGTGTCCAGACCGATCTGTGGATGTCTGTGCCCGGCCCCACCTATGGATGGATGCCTGTGCCCAGCCCACCTATGGATGCCTGTAGATATATCAGGTCCCCCATTTAACTCCCTGCTCTGCACTTATTTGTGGAGTGGGCTCTGTACATTTTCACATCTCTAGTGCCTTAGTGTAAGCAGAAACTTACTGAGTTGTTTTGTTTTGTTTTTAAGAAAAATATCCCTGTCGTTAATTGTTGTTGTGTACTGTTGAGTGGGAACCGACCCGTTGCTGACCATTCACTGGGTTTTCAGAGGCAAGAGGAGATTGCCCTCCTTCTTCAGAGCAGCAAGTGGATTTGAACCATGTGGCCCTCGGGCCTTTCACTGTTTCTGTTCAGACATTCCTCTAGGTCGTATAGCCCTGGTGTACAGGTTGCCATATGGTGGTCACTTGTGGTTGCTGTGAGGCTGAACACTGTGACACTGATGTGTCAAATGCATTAACGGCTGGTTATCCAATGCGGACAGAGATTGGGGTGGAGCTCCCCGATTAAAACAAGCTTGGAAGGAGGAGTGGCATCCACTTCCTTAATAGCTTGCCTCTGGAAACCCTGTGAACCTGGAGAGAGGATGAGAGACACCCAAGCGTTGAGGACTCTTCTTCATAGGGTCACTATGAGTCACCTGCAACTCGACAGCACTTCACAATGACAACAACAACAACAATAGCGCCTTAGTAGGGAGCTCTATTGGCTTAGTGGTAAGGAATTGAGCTGCCCACACAAAGGTGTTCAGTTCGAATCCACCCGGTGCTCTGTGGGTGAAAGGTGGGCAGTCTCCTCCCATGGCATTTACTGCCTCTGAAAACCCACTGAAGGGTCAGCTGTGGGTTGTGCCAACTCAACAGTACATGACAAAAAGAAGCAGCACCTCCTTAGTGAGCAGGGTGATTGTGTTCATTCTATAGATGCAGAAAACTGAGGGCTGGAAAGGGAGGTGGAACTTAGGACTCTTTCCCTGGTGCTATGATATGGTGCCTCCACCTTCCCCACTCCTCCCTGCACTTTCTCCTTCTAGCCCCCATGTCCTCCTCACTCCTGCCCCTCTCCCCTCTGCTGACCCCCAGCATTGCCCCCTTCCGTGGTCCTCCTCTTATAGCGTGTTCCATCCTTTTTTTTTTTTTTTGTTTTGCAGCACTGAGGCCTCTGAAACACTCTGAAAACAAAGAAGGTAAAGACATGTGCATAAGACTGTGGGCCTGTGTGTCAGAAATTGGGGGGTTGTAGAAGACTGGGGGGTTGTTTTCTGGTGATCCAAGCTTCACTCTCCAGGAGAGCGGCCTTGATTCCCCGCTGTGAGATGGCACGGGGCTGAGTAACCGAGGAACCCCTGTTAGTTGGGATGCAGGTCCCAGCGGCCATGTCGATGTTCAGGGCCAAGTCAATGTTCAGTGGCGGTAAAGGGGGCCTGGTTTGGGGCCTGGGGCATGAAGATAAGTGACCCTCCCTATTGTTATGGACAAAATGTAAGCGTAGAGGAATCAAACAGATGGAGACCAGTTTGGATTTTGGAGAATGTGGCCGGATGTATGAAATGGTGGGCTTCCCAGTCCAGTTCCATCTGGGGCCTGGTCTCAGGCCAACAGGACCTCAGAGGCAGACCCTGGATGGGAGAGTGGTCAAGGGTACTTCCCCTGCAAACAGATGAAGTCCAGGAATAGGAAGAGAAGGGGCAGGGCCACATGGCTCAAGAGTGGAGAGAGGCCAGGGGTGTGAATTTCAGAAGCCAGAGAGAAGGGGAGCCCCCCACAGCATCATTCTTGGGGTGACTGGTGTAAAAATGAACAGTTGGGAAAGAATTTCTGGCTAGAGGAGGGAAGTGAGTCAGGCCTTGGAGGATGGATTGGATGGACAAGGCAGGGGGAGGTAAGAAGGGAAAACCGTTCTAGCAGAAGGGGCCAGTTGGGAGGTCGCTGTATGTAAAGTGAGTGACCCATGGGACCATTGAGCATGGAAGGTGAAGACAGAGGCTCCCTCGGGCACCTCTGCTGTTATGTCTGAACCCCAGCTCCTTGCTTGTTGCTGGGTCTGTGAGGGCAGTGGTTGGCACAGAGTCAGCTGAGCTGACAGCCAGGCTCCCTCCCAATGCCAGCCCTGAATCTGTGTCCAGATCCTGGGGTTCTAGTACAGCCCACCCACTATATGCCCTAGACTAGAACTTGTCATGTTTAATATTGATTTCCTCCCTTTCCTGAAATGCAGATGATGGACAAGAGATAGCTTGACCATGAGAACCCGGGAGCCACCACCTTCTCCAGCTGTTCAGGGCCCCCTGTGTGAACCCAGGCTGGGGTTTTCTCTGCCATCAAGAAGCCCCCTCTATTGCGACTACTCGTTCTTCAAACAACGCGATACACAGACTCACCCCCGGCTCTTCCACTTCATTTCTCCAGTGGACACGATCCCCACCTAAGTCACTCACCCCGCTGCCTTATTTCTCTGGTGACACGATACATCAACCATCCTGCTGCCTTATTTCTTATGGATACGGCCACAGAACACCTTGCCACCTTATTCTTCCACTTGATATGCTACCTGGACCACCTGCCTACATTTTTTTTTCCCTCCAAAGGATGCAATATTCAGACTGACCCTTTGCCTTATTCTTCTGAAGACATAATGCAAGTCTTGCCTTGTTTCTCCAGTGGCCCTGACGTACTAGTCATCGTCTCTCAGCTGTCTAGGCCTGCATTCCCCCATCATAACCCCAGACCTAACTTTCAGACAAGGGCCCCACAGCCTCAGCAGCTCTTTGACTCGGGAGGCTGTTCCCTTCTGCCTCCTGCTCTGGCCCCAAAGTTGAACTTTTCCGTCACCACTGTGTCCAGATCAGGCACACACAGCCCCCTAAAGGTGTGCAGAGACCCGCCGCTGCACGTGCTGCATCCCTCCTGCCCCTACGCTGGTCTTCCCTGTGATGCCCTGGGCTGTGCCCTATATCACCTTCCCCTCCACCCAGTCAGCTCCCAGGAAATGTGTGCTGGTCACACTGGTCGTCTGTGTGTGATGCGACCTCCCCACCCCACCCTAAGCTCCAGCCTCTGTCCTATTTCCCACCACAGGACCTTGAAACAGCTTTGATTGTACCCCTTTCATGTATCCATATAATTTCTGTTTATTGAGTATCCACGGGGTGTCAGCACTGGGCTAGATGCTGAAGACCCTGAATGAGAAGCTAAGCCCCGCCCTGAAGGCTCTCACCATCCGCCTGTAACACTGACAAGGAAATAGGGAGTGTACTGAGCCTGGAGGCTGGCTCATGGCAGGGGGCTCCTGCCTGGCTTCCTGCTGAGCCGTCTGTCTGCTGCTCCTGGATACCTCACCACTCCACAAGACCTCCACCTCACTTCACATTCTTAGCCAGAGCACATGGCAGGGACAGAAACCTGCAGCAGGGCTGAAGTCTCTTGCCACAACTGGGAATTCTGATGGTTCCCGCTATCTTGCCAGGAGTGAGTGGGAACAGCTGGCAGGTGGTGATGTTAGGGCCCCCAGACTTGGGATAGCAGCAGTAGAGGGGAATCCTGGGGTCTCCTTCATTGACTGGGTTTGGGAGGTACTTTCAGGAGGCATAGGCACTGCCCCCACCCAACCATGGTGCTATTCTGGGGTGGGGCCAGAATCTGGTTTGTGTCTGGCCAGTCTCCAACCTCCAGTAGGATAGAAGTTCCAATACCCTGGTATCCTGGAGCCCTCACTCCCCAGGACTGGAGGGTGTGGGGATTTTTAATTTAAATGTGGGACTTTGTGGGATTTTGTATACTGGGGGATTACTGGGGAAACAATAAAAGCCTTTGTAAAAAGCTTTCTCTCTGAGTGTTTGGAAGCAGAATGAGACATCAGAACTCAGCACAAGGAATTCCTCCTGGAAACTCCAGATTAGGGTAGGATGGCCTGGATCTTGTCATGGTCACCATCATTAACTGACTGGATTTCAGTGGCCATGTGTCACCGCCTTCCCGGGTCACATGTTGCGGGTTGGTAAAGTGAGGCCAGATGACCTGCAAGCCATGCCCTTTGGTCACTGTACTAGACTTACTCCCACTCTTAGGAGCACCACCTGTTTCTTTGGGGCCTGGAATGGTTTACAGCCTTGGCTAAGGCCCTCATTTTATTGATGGAGAAGTGGGGGTGCTATAACAGGAAAGGTGTTCTGTGTGCCATTCTTGGCTGACCCAGTGGAATGGCCATCAGCTTGAGGCCAGAGGTCCAGGGCCAGGCGCTGGCAGTACACCCAGCTTCTCAGGGCCTGAGTTCTTACATGAAGAACAGGGCATTGAGGTGTTAAGCACCTTCCATCCTGGAAGGTGCCTGTTTGCTCCTTGGTGATGACAGTGTCTCAGCTCTAAGCAGGCTAGTCTGTCCCCAGATCCTCAGAGGCCCAGGACCCTAGAAAGGGCTGGTGCTAGGAGTCAGGACACTTACTTCTAGCTCTGCTCCTAACCATAAACAAACCTCTCCCTTTTTCTTTACTCTCTAAAGTTTCTTCTCCTGTGCAATTAACTGCCTCTGAAAACTTGCTGGAGGGTCATCTATGAGTTAGTTCTGACTTGACATTACACAACAACAACAAAGTTTCTTTTAAATGAAGTTAGACCATTCCTGAAATGAATCCCTGGTGGACCTTCACAGTAAAGCGTTCAACGACTAGCCAAAAGATTGGTACTTTACACCCACCCAGAGGCAGCCTGGGAGCAGGGCCTGGTGTTCTGAGAGCCTTGGGGCCCCGTGGAGCAGTTCTATCCATACCTGGGGCCACGTGAGTCAGCATCAACGCAATAAACCTTAACAGTGGTCATTATCTCCATCACCTCTTCTGAAAAATGTGCAACATTCTTCACAAACTTCTTGTGAAGCTGACGGCCTCTTGTAAGGTGGGCGGCTCTAGGGAGAGCACACTCCACTTGTGCCCTGAGTGGGTTCTAGGACCAGAATTCTCATGCCTTTGCCCCTTAAGTTTCCTGTGTACCTTTGACCAGGCCGCTGGCCTGGTGAAGTGGGGACAATAACGGCTGCTATTTCTTAGGGTGCTCTGGTGGTGTAGTTTGTAGGGAACTGAGTTGCTGCCAACACCTCCATGGAAGAAGGATGGACAATCTCCTCTTATACAATTTACAGCCCCAGAAAATCCTCTGAAGGGTCAGCTGTGAAGCAGTTCTCACTCAGCAATGAGATGGGATGATTCCTCAGGATTGGTATGAGGATGAGACAGTTGGTGAAAAGGCAAGGTGCACACTCTTGCTTCAAGGTTAATGTGTGGATGTAGCAGAGGGATCCAGAGCAAGCCTGTTTACCTACCCGAAAAACAGATACAGGAGCTTTCTTTTTCTGAAGAGACTGGAATAAAGGTTAGGACAACATATCAAGTGCATAAAGGAGGGACCCAGCAGGTGTGGGAACTTGCTTGGGGGGCTGAGAGGTGAGGAAAGTAGCCACAGAGTCCCCTGGTGACAAGTGCCCCAGAGAGCAGTATTTTTAGCAAAACTCCAGCTCCTGCATTTTAATGAAGGAATAATTCTCACAGTGCGACATGCTGTAGCCTGCAGGTGTCACATCCATATTAAAGAGGGGGCAGAGCAAGAGTTCATTCGCCTGGCTGGAAGTGTGACTGGAATCAGCCTCCTGGACCATTTGTAACAAGAGCCTGCGAAGGCCAGTTAGTGACTTGACCTCTCAGGGAGGGGGGCGATCGGGAGGAGGGTTGGTGGCAGCCCTGAGTCATCTGCCTCTTTCCCCACCTGTTTCTTTCTCCTTCCAGTCTGCTCTGCTCACACACATAATTGTAGATGGCGCCTTGCACAGGGTTCTGTTCAGGCAGAGACACTTGGCCTTGCTGGGCTCCAGGGAGCAGTTTGCTGGGTGGGATGTTCGTAAACACACATGGATCCATGAACAGTGGTCCTGACTGATTCACAGCCTTCCTTCTATTACAAAGTCTATCACCTAAACTCAGAAGTGAAGCCCAGGTTTGCCCTCATATACTCCGGATAAATACATGGGCTCAAAGAAGCAGGGCCAGAGGCTTGGGGACGGTGAGAAGCCAGCACTGGAATGGGGAGGGAACACCTGGTAAATTGAGTCAAATCGTACAAACGCAGCAGATACGGAAGTACTTGCTCTCACTTTTAGTCCCCTCACCCTACTAGAGGGATCCAGCGGTAGAAATCTGCCAGATTGCTGGGTGATGGGAACAGTTAATGTGCTTTCAGCTACTGGCTAAAAGGTTGGAGGTTAGAGTCTACCCAGAGGGGGGAAAAGAGCTCTACCTCGGAGGATCCAGGGGTTGCTGTGAGCTAATGTGGTTCAATGGCAACTTGGCAGTTGTTCCAGACTCCCCCGAGGCTTACACCTTTATAGAAGAAAAAGCACACGTCTTGTCCTCCACTAGTTTCTCTATCCTCTTCACTGTTTTATCCAATCAGTGTTTCTAGACTGCCATCCTGCCTCTGAATTGGATTTGAATTAACAGTACATACTTGAGCTCTAGCGGCCTAGCCCACAGGGGTTGAACTGCTAACTACAGGGCTGCGACTCGGGCTGTGGGAATCCACACTCAGGAGGTCTGAACCCACCAGCAGCTCTGCTGATAGATGGCCATCTCCTCCCTTTAGGATTTACAGCCACAGAAACCTGATGGAGGGTCTCTCTGAATCAGGACTGACTCAGCCGCAGTGAGGGTGAGGTTTTTGTTTTCTTGAACATACTGCCAATGTGAAGGTAAAAGGTTTGAATCCACCCACTGCTCCATGGGAGAAAGATGGGCAGTCTCTTCCTTTATGACTAATAAATAGCCTCTGAAAACCCACTTTAGGATCAGGTATGAGTTCAACCCCTATGGCACGTAACAAACAACAATAGCTGGTGGCACTGTCTCTGCATTGCCAGCTCAAACGTAGTACCTCTCTGGCAGTTCAGATTCTCCAGTGGTTCTGTCGGGGAAAGATGGACAATCTCCTCCCATCCATATGATTGACAGCTGCTGGAGAGTCATCTATGAGTCGGTTCCTAGTCAATGGCAGGCGTGAGTTTGAGTTTTTGGTGTATGCTTTTGTGAATTTTTACACACATATACAATCACATAACCACTACCCCAATCAAGACATAAAACAATTCTGGGGTCCTACAAAGTTATATCGTGCCCCTCCCAAGTCAGTAGCCCTACCAAGAAACACTATTCCAAATACTATTCTTTCATTATAGATTAGTTTTACTCAATCTTGAATGT